GAAAAAGTTTTAAAAAAACACAGTAGCGTTCTCTTTTGAGGCAAGGAATTCCCTAAATTTAATAAAGCGCTTAAAAAAAAACAGTTCAACACTTTCGAAGGAAAGATTTATTACTAAAAAAGGGCAAACGGGTGCAAAAACAAATTACAGAAAAAAATGACCTATTTTCCGCGTATAAGCAACTGGGGTTTTTCGACACCCCCTAATTTTCCAGTTAAAACATGGTTTTGGGCATACTCCCGTTAAGACCCCCCCTTCCAGGCAACACCTTTAAAAACATCGGGTTTTTTTAATTTAAAAGGGTTATACTTACCGTACTTAAAATCCTTCAAATCCCCCCATGATCTCTTGACATCAAATTTTGAATGACACTTTTATACATTTGTAAGACATCACATTGGATTTTCTAATACAAGCTTCGGGTACATACAAAATATATACAGCCCGCGGATGGCATAATGTACAACAGTTACCCCCGCTGAGCCAACGGGGGTCAAAACTGTAGCCCAACTACCGTACATACACGATCCAGTCGACGGATTTACAGTAGACTACTGTAACGTTTTGAAAACCGCTTGGCTCAGCGCATATTCTGTAGATATCGCACACTCCAGCGGGCATGCCATATTGAATCTGGTCATAGGGACATTTGGTTTTGAGTCCAGCTTTGGCTCAGCGCAGTATACTGTTATGTACAGTATTACCAACACATCCAGCCAGCTTGATCCAAACAAACTCAAGGTTCACATTTTATACCCCGCGTATAAACGACCCCCCAATTTTTGTGGGTATATTTTTAGAGTATAAAAAGTAGTCCCACCCACCCCTTCTACGCCAGAAAAAATACTGTAACTAAGATATATATATATATATAATATATATAATAATAGGTATTATATAATATTAGATATATATATTTATATATATATATATATATATATATATATAAATATACAGTGGCTAACAGCACAGCAAAGAGATAATGCCGAGAGCGAGTGAAAGGGTTAAGGTACTGTCAGGGCTCCCAGGTATGACCAGAGGTGTGTGGACTGAAGCAGGGGAAACGCAGACCTCAGAATATGTTATAAACAATATAATTTTATTAACACTAACAGTACAAACATAAACGCAGGGCAATACTAAAACAGATAATACAGTGCAAACAAACCAAAACCAAACCACCCACAGATAACAGTACATATACAAGCAAGCGTCGTCAGGCAGGCCGGGTCAATATCAATTGGGCAGGTAGGTAAGGGGGAGCAAGCGGAGAATAGTCGGGGTCCACAGGCCAGGTTCAGCAGGTAGCAAGCAGCATAGGACAGAGGGTCAGGACAGAGGGATGGTCCGGGTCACAAGCCAGGGATCAGAAAGTCAGACAGAGGAATGGTCAGGGTCACAAGCCAGGATCAGAGCAGGAGAAGTCAGCAAAGGAACAGAAACAGGATGCAGGACAGATACAGGGCCCAGGACAAACACAACACCAAGGCAGAGTCTGCAAGTCTGGCCATCCCTTAAAATACCCCAGCATCATCAGTTCCAGGTGTTAGCTGGCTGAAAGGTTGAGTCTCTGATTGCTGGGAGCACCCGCTGGCCAGCCCTGGTACTGCAGATCAAAAGGCAGGTGAGTCCCACCATTGCTGGCCAGTCCATTCCTAACAGTACCCCCCCCCTCAAGGAGCGGCCTCAGGACGCTCCAAACAGTCCTAGCTGGGCAAAATGTTCCACCGCCCGGGTCTGGCAACTGGCGGGATATCAAAGACTGGCACACCGGGCAGGACTCCGGGGCAGAGGCACATCGAGCAGAGGCACATCGGGCAGAGGCACATCGAGCAGAGGCACATCGGCAGGCACACTCCCGGGCAGAGGCACATCGGGCAGGACTCCGGGCAGAGGCACATCCGGGCAGAGGCACATCGGGCAGGACTCCGGGCAGAGGCACATCGGGCAGGACTCCGGGCAGAGGCACATCGGGCAGGATTCCGGGCAGAGGCACATCGGGCAGGACTCCGGGCAGAGGCACATCGGGCATTACCAGGTGAAGCACAGGCACTACGGGCCCCCAGGCGGCAACAGGCAGGCCGGGCCCCCAGGCGGTACCGGGCAGGCACCGGCCCCCGGGCGGGGGCGGCAGGCACCGGGACCCCCGGGGGCGGGGCGACAGGCACCGGGCCCCCGGGCGGGAGCAGCAGGCACCGGGCCCCCCGGGCGGGGCGGGCAGCAGGCACCGGGCCCCCCGGGACGGGCAGCAGGCACCGGCACCGGCCCCCCGGGCGAGCAGCAGGCACCGGGCCCCCGGGCGGGAGCAGCAGGCACCGGCCCCCCCCCCGGCGCACCGGGGCAGCAGGGCGGGCACAGGCCCCGGGCCCCCGGGAGCGGCAGGCACCGGGGCCACCGGGCCCCCGGGCGGAGCTGCAGGCACCGGGCCCCCGGGCGGGAGCAGCAGGCACCGGGCCCCCCCGGGCGGGGCAGCAGGCACCGGGCCCCCGGGGGCGGGGCAGCAGGCACCGGGCCCCCGGGCGGGGCAGCAGGCACCGGGCCCCCCGGGCGGGGGGCAGCAGGCACCGGGCCCCCGGGCGGGGCGACAGGCACCGGGCCCCCAGGGGGGGCAGACAGGCACCGGGCCCCCGGGCGGGGCGACAGGCACCGGGCCCCCCAGGCGGGGCGACGGGCACCGGGCCCCCAGCGGGGCGACGACAGGTCATCGGGCCCCCAGGCGGGAGGGCGGCGGGCGCCGGGCCCCCCAGGCGGAGCGACAGGTCTCGGGCCCTCAGGCGGAGCGGCGGGCGCCGGACCCCCAGATGGAGCGACAGGTCTCGGGCCCTCAGGCGGAGCGGAGCGGCGGGCGCCGGACCCCCAGCTGGAGCGACAGGTCTCGGGCCCTCAGGCGGAGCGGCGGGCGCCGGACCCCCAGGTGGAGCGACAGGTCTCGGGCCCCCCAGGCGGAGCGGCGGGCGCCGGACCCCCCAGGCGGAGCGACAGGTCTCGGGCCCTCAGGCGGAGCGGCGGGCGCCGGACCCCCAGGAGGAGCGACAGGTCTCTCGGGCCCTCAGGCGGAGCGGCGGGCGCCGGACCCCCAGCTAGGAGCGACAGGTCTCGGGCCCTCAGCGGAGGCGGCGGGCGCCGGACCCCCAGTGGAGCGACAGGTCTCGGGCCCTCAGGCGGAGCGGCGGGCGCCGGACCCCCCCCAGGAGTGGAGCGACAGGTCTCGGGCCCTCAGGCGGAGCGGCGGGCGCCGGACCCCCCAGGTGGAGCGACAGGTCTCGGGCCCCAGGCGCAGGCGGAGAGGCGGGCGCCGGACCCCCCCATGGAGCGACAGGTCTCGGGGCCCCTCAGGGCGGAGCGGCGGGCGCCGCCGGACCCCCCAGATGGGAGCGACAGGTTTCGGGCCCCTCAGGGCAGGCGGAGCAGGTGGCAGGGTGCCGGACCCCCAGGCGGAGCGACAGGTCTCGGGCCCTTAGGCGGAACGACAGGTCTCGGGCCCCCCAGGCGGGGCGGCGGGGCACCGAGTCACCAGGCACAACAGTGGGCTCCGAGTCAACTGGGATGACCGCTGGCACTGGGGTCAGACATTGGATCGTCTGGCTGGACAGCGGGCATCGGGTCACCAGGCATCAGGTCATTTGGCTCGACAGAGGGCAGGGCACCGCGTCATCTGGCAGGCGTCGGGCAAGGCAGTGGGCTCCGAGTCAACTGGTATGACCGCGGGGCACTGGGTCAGACATTGGATCGTCTGACTGGACAGCGGGCACTGGGTCACCAGGCATCAGGTCATTTGGCTCGACAGCGGGCACCGCGTCATCTGGCAAGGCAGTGGGCTCCTCCGAGTCAACAGGCACGACAGTGGAGCACCGGGGGGGCATTCAGGTACCGCGATTGTCTGGCTCGACAGCGGGCATCGGGTCACCAGGTATGACAGCGGGCACTGGGTCACCAGGCATCAGGTCATTTGGCTTGTCAGCGGGCACCGCGTCATCTGGCAAGGCAGTGGGCTCCGAGTCAACTGGTATGACCCGCGGGCACTGGGTCAGACATTGGATCGTCTGACTGGACAGCGGGCACTGGGTCACCAGGCATCAGGTCATTTGGCTCGACAGCGGGCACCGCGTCATCTGGCAAGGCAGTGGCTCCGAGTCCGGTCAACTGGCAGGCACGACAGTGAGGCACCGGGGCATCAGGGTACCGGATGGTGTCTGGCTCGACAGCGGGCATCGGGTTCACCAGGTATGACAGCGGGCACTGGGGTCGCCAGGCATCAGGTCATCTGGCAACATGCAGTGGCACACCGCGTCACCAGGCATTGGGATCGTCTGGCTCGACAGCGGGCATCGGGTCACCAGGTATGACAGCGGGCACTGGGTCACCAGGCATCAGGTCATTTGGCTTGCCAGCGGGCACCGGGCACCGCGTCATCTGGCAAGGCAGAGGGCACCGAGGCACGGGGTCACCAGGTATCGACTCAGCGGGCTCTGAGTCAATTGGCACGACAGCGGGCACTGGATCAGGTACCGGATCATCTGGATCAACAGCGGGCATCGAGTCAACTGGCCTAATAGGATCGTCACGGGCTGGATCAGTTCATCCTGCTGAGTAGCGGCATCAGGCTGTGCAGGCATCAGGCCGAGTAGAGGCATCAGGCCGAGTAGAGGCATCAGGCCGAGTAGAGGCTTCAGGCATCAGGCCGAGTAGAGGGCATCAGGCCGAGTGAGGCATCAGGCAGTACAGGCATCATGGCCGAGTACAGGGCATCAGGCATCAGGCCGCGTAGAGAGGCTTCAGGCCGAGTAGGCTTCAGGCCGAGTAGAGAGGCTTCAGGCCGAGTAGAGGCTTCAGGCCGAGTAGAGGCTTCAGGGAGTCGAGAGGCTTCAGGCCTGAAGGAGAGTAGCAGGCTTCAGGCCGAGTAGAGAGGCTTCAGGCCGAGTAGAGGCTTCAGGCCGAGTAGGGCTTCAGAGCCGAGAGAGGCTTCAGGCCGAGTAGAGGCTTCAGGCCGAGTAGAGGCTTCAGGCTGCGTACAGGCATCAGTCTGAACCACGGAAGGCAGGCTCACCGGTTTGGATACTGGCAGGATGGTATTGGTTGGAAAGAAATTTTCGCTTTTTTCTGGTTTTAACTACTGGAGCACTGCAAGTAAACGCAGGTCTGCAAACGAATGGAGCAGCTGGAGACAGAGAAGAACTGGAGGATGGAACAGGAGAGGGAGCAGTTGCTACAGAGGGCTTTTTTTTTACAGGGTTAAAAGGCAGGATAGGTGCAGCGAGTGGGGAACAGGGTACTGACATGCGGTAGATAGCCAAGTATACTGGGCTGTAACTGGAGGAGCTGGTGGGAAAATACAGGAGTAGAGTTAGAAGCAGGACTGGGTCTTTGTAAGCTGACTGAGGCTGGGTGCAACAAATCTGTCCATGTCTGCAGTAGGGGTTGAACAAAGCTGAGCTTACACAAAGTCTGTCTGGTCAATGACTGCACTGCGTTTATACAATCTCTCAGTGTCTGTGGTGAACATGTGGAATAACGCTCCCAAAAGTAACCCACATCATCCTCTAATAACCACACCAGGGACTCTACCTGGTCTGCACTAAATGGTGGCAAAAATTCATCCCTGCATTCGGGGGAACCAGATGAAACCAACTCTCAACACAAACCTCAATCAATGGCTGCACCATAGAGAAAACTGTGCCCTGATCTACTAGAACATGAGCGAGCCGTATACATTCTAGCAGTTCATCCCGGGTATACTCCTTCAGAGTTTGATAAGCATACTCCCTGTCATCAAGCACTAGCAGAGATAAATACTCAACCTCATCTAGATCCATCCTTTCCCCATCAACAAGCCAAGATGGCTTCCCTTTGCCCTGTGCAGCCACTTCTGGTCAGGATTGGCCTTGGTGTAATGTCAGGGCTCTCCCAGGTATGACCAGAGGTGTGTGACTGAAGCAGGGAAACGCAGACCTCAGATATGTTATAAACAATATAATTTATTAAACACTAACAGTACAAACATAAACGCAGTGCAATACTAAAACATAATACAGTGCAAACAAACCCAAACCAAACCACCCACAGATAACAGTATATATACAAGCAAGCGCGTCGTCAGGCAGGCCAGGCCGGGTCAATATCAATTGGGCAGGTAGGTACAGGGGGGAGCAAGCGGAGAATAGTCGGGGTCACAGGCCAGGTTCAGCAGGTAGCAAGCAGCATAGTACAGAGGGTCAGACAGAGGGATGGTCCCGGGGTCACAAGCCAGGGATCAGAACAGGTAGCAAGCAGCGTAGTACAGAGGGTCAGACAGAGGGATGGTCAGGGTCACAAGCCAGGATCAGAGCAGGAGAAGTCAGCAAAGGAACAGAATACCCCAGCATCATCAGTTCCAGGTGTTAGCTGGCTGAAAGGTTGAGTCTCTGATTGCTGGGAGCACCCGCTGGCCAGCCCTGGTACTGCAGATCAAAAGGCAGGTGAGTCCCACCATTGCTGGCCAGTCCATTCCTAACAGATGTCTATATATCACGGTTAACGAGATCTATTTTCTGTGTTTCCTTATGTATTGCCTAGACCAAAGAGAGTGAGAACTATCAAACTGTTTCGCCTCTCTCGTGGCTCAATCTGACATAAGGTCCGGTTTTTATGTAAGTCTCTCATATTCCAAGATATGAGGAATATGGGAAAATGGATTTCTGAAAAAGTGTTGATCTGATCTGTCACCTACACTGAGTGAGGTTTTAATAGGTTGGAAACTTTTCAAACTCCAGGAAAAGCTTGCCTTATTTCTTTTATGAGGTGTTAATTTTTTGCTTGGTTCTTTGGGACAGGGTGGCAACCAGCTACCATGGGTGGATTCTTTATTGCTACTATGACCCTCTGTGACATTCCCAACTCACACACATACTTGTGCAAAAATGTCGCTGGGCCTCTCTAAGGAGGGAGGGGGGAAGAAGGAGGGAGAATTATATTTGTCTGGTTGGTTAATCCCTTTGCCAGATGGAGGTTGAAGCAAATATGGTTGAACCGACGTACATCTCGGGGTATACGCTGTTACTATATTTTTCCCATCACCTTTCTTGTGATGATTTGGACATTATTACCTTTTTTTGTTAATCACAAGAGCACACTATTTTTATTTTGCCCCATATATTGTGTCAGCTGCTAAATTTTTTTTGGAAATTCCCCCAAACCAGGT